TGGAGAAAGCTAGAAGGTAAAGCATGTCCAACAGTGGCTACTATTGTTTGTCCCATGGCATCAAAACACCTGCAGTGGGAACGAGAAGCCAGAAGCTCATCTATGGAGAGAAAGCTCAGTGAGGAACTCTGCACAGCTGTCTCCGCAGAGCAGTGCCCGTTGTTTCTGCCGGATGCTGTAAGCGTTTGATGTGATGATGATCTCTAGCTACTGCTTGCTATTTGTTCTTTTACTTTTGCTTGCTACATGTCTAACTCATCCATTCAAACCCAAAAGACTTCTAGCCACTCCCCAGAAAGAACAGGATCAAACCCAGGCCTTTGTGTATGCAAGATAAGCACGCTACCAACTGAGCTTCTCACCCCAAGTCTCTAACTTTGACTTTCATATTATCAGATGATATATCCCACTTGCAACTTTTCTGAACAGTTGCAATTATATGGAAAATAACTACTTGCCACATATGGTGGCTCACATCTGTAACTCTAGCACTCAGGATACTGAGGTAGGAAGAGAACTGTGGTTTTGTGGGGGGTTTTTTTTGGTTGTTTTTTTTCTTTTTTTTTTTTTTTTTTTTTTTTTTTGTCTTTTTGAGACAGGGTCTCCCTGTAGCTCCAGGTGACCTGGAACTCGCTATGTAGACCAGGCTGGCCTTGAACTCACAGAGAGCCTCCTGCCTCTGCCTGCCAAGTGCTGGGATTAAAGGCATGTGCCACCACACCCATCTAGATCACTATGTGTTTTAAGGCCAATCTGGGCTACACAATGACTTCCATGGCATCCTGGGCAACAGAGATACCGTCTCAAAAATTCAAAACAAGCAAACAAAGAACAAAGGAAAGGCAAAAACAAAGGTTGTAGAGATGGCTCATCAGTTAAGAGCACTGGCTGCTCTCACAAGACTCAAATTTGGTTCCCAACACTCACATGGAACTTACAACTGACTGTAGCTCCAGTTCCAGTTCCCTTTTCTGGCTTCTGTGGGCACTCCACACAGGTGGTGCACTTACATACATGTAGGCAAAAAACACATACATATAAAATAAAAATAAATCTTTAACAAAAGGAAGACAAACCTTGTTAAACAAATGCCCCCCTCCAAAACAAAAACAAAAACAAAAATCCCAATTCTAAACATCTTAACCCATTAGTACTCTTTTTGGCTTCCCTTTGCAACAAAATTCTTTGAAAAAGTAGCGTGTATTTACTGTCGCCAATTTATCCTTCCATTCCACTCCCTCTTTTTTATAAAAACTTATTTTTTATATTTTATGTGTATGAGTGTTTTGCCTGTATGTGTGTAAGAGCACCTGTGTCATGCAATGCCCATGGAGGACAGAAGAGGGAACTGTAGTTACAGGTGGTTGTTAGCTACCACATGAGTACAGGGACTCGAACCTGGGTTCTCTCCAAGAGCAGCCAGTGCTCTTAACCACTGAGCCATTTCTCCAGCCCCTCCACTCCCTCTTAAGCTCAACCAAAGTCAAGGCTTTTTGTCTCTAACTTCTATGAACAATGTTCCCATTACTCCCAGTGACAGCTCAGTTGTCCTCAGGTTTTACCCTCTCTCACCACTCAGCATTATCTGACACTGAGGTCAAGGCCAGTGGCTTCTGGAGTGCTGCTGTCTTGGGTTCCTATTACTTCCCGCCCCCTCATTTCCTGCTCATGCAATGCTGGAGTGGCTCAGTGGACACTCCCATCCCAGGCGATCTCACTCCACCATCATGACTAAAGCACGATCTATCCACATCACTTGAGTTCTCAGAATCACTTGGAAGGCTTCCCACAGCACAGGTTTCTGGGACTACAGAGGGGCAGGGAGAGGATCCTGGAATGGGTATTCTCTCCTGTCCCTCCCCTTCCTCTTCTCCCCATTCCTTTCTCCCTCTCTTTTTCCTTCTTGCCTCCCTTCCCCTGGCCTCTTTTTCTCTCCTTACAGCTATATAGCCCAGACTGGCCTTGAACTTGCCATGTGACCCAAGCTAGTGTGCAACTCACTACAGGTATTTCATTCCATTTCGCTTTATTATTTTTTTTTTATTTAATCTTATGGTAGTTCTTGGGATGGAACCTAGTACCCTGTGTCTTCTAGGCAAGTGCTCTGTCAGTGAGCTACATTTTCAGCTCCTGGAACTCACTATGTGAGGCCTTGAACTCCAGCCTCCTGAGTGCTGAGATGTGTCATCATGCCCAATGCCGAATGCATTTCTAACAAGTTCCTAAGTGATTTTGATGCTGCCAGCCTGGGGACAGCCATAGACCAGCCACTGATTTATGTGGTGACAACTCTCTGGTTTTAGACTTGATCTTGAAACTTTCTCCCTGATTCCATATTCATATACCCAATTGTTTGCCAACATCTCTACTTGCAAGTATGCAAAAGCTGAGTTGGTGGCTCATACCTATAAATCCCAGTTTTTGGAAGGCCACTGCAAGGGCTGCTGCAAATCAAGGCCAGCCTGGGCTACTGAGTGAAACTCTGTCTCAAAACAAAAACAAGGGCTGGAAAGATGACATAGCCAGTAACAGGCCTGTCACACAAGTGTGAGGACTGGAGTTCAGATTCCCTAAATTCATGTGAAGGCTGTGTGGGTATAGTGACCTGCCTGTGATCCATGTGCAGGAAGCATAGAAACGGAACCCCTAGGACAAGATGGCCATCCAGACTAGCTGAAATAGCAGCTCTGGGCTCAGTGAGAGACCCAGCCTCAACATACACGGTGGACAGTGATCAAGGCAGGCACCTCATGTCAATCTTGAACCTCCACACACGTACACACACCCACATGCACCTGCATATACACCGGCATGATGTATATACACATGCACACACACACATGAACACACAAAGACACCTATCACATGTGCATACATAAGCAAAGAAACGCCAAACAAATAGACAGCAAAATTGAAAACCCCTCTCAAATTTGCTTTTTTTCTTTAAAGATTTTTTAATTTAAAAATATTTTTGATTGATTTATTTTATGTGTATGAGTGTTTTTTCTGTATGAAAGTAAGTGCACCCGTGAATGCAATGCCTCTGGAGGCCAGAGGGTGTTGGGTCACCTGAAAGTGGAGATACTATACTTGTTAGCTGCCATGTGGGTGCTGGGAACCAAACCCAGGTCCTCTGGAAGAGCAGCCAGTGCTCTTAACCACTGAGCCATCTCTCCAGCCTCTCTAAAAACTATTATTACCCTAGCAGCTGCTAAGCTCTCTGTAAATGGCTTATGGTATTTTGCTGCTCAAAGCACTGCAGTTGCTTCTGATGCAACTCAGAAAAACTTAGTCCTTCATATGGCTTATAGGCCTGCCATCTGGCCCGTTTCCTCTGTGACCCCTTCTCGTCTCCTCAGCCTAGTCATGCTCACTCCCAGCAGGCTCCCTTTCTTGTGACTTTTGCTTCAGTTGCTCCCTCCGCCTGGAATGCTCACCCAAGGCATCAGCTTGACTAACATCCACTTCCTTCCAGGCTCCATTTACCTCTCATGAGAGCTACCCTGAATCCTCCATAAAACACTGCACCCCACCTGCCCTTTCCCTTCAGTACTTCTAACATTCTGTAATTCATTTAGCTTATTATCCTGTCACCTCTGCTGGAAGGATCCTGGTCTATTTGTTCCCTAATATATCCCAAGCATCATGAAAAATGACAGAAGAAATGTCTGTTCACTGAATGGATGAATTTGTCCTGTGAATTTGGGATGGACAAACGGAAAGAAGCAGGTTTCTGTTTTCTTTTAGGAGGAAGATTATCTTTCTCTACATGGGAAAGCCACCACACCTATCTCCAAAGGGCAGGGAGTACTGAGGACTAGCAGAGATACTGCTGGCCTGACAGTAAGTCCACGAGTCTCACAAATGCTAACTCTCCCTTTTCAGGGTCTAGGCAAACTACCAACACCACAAGGAATTCCTGAGGGGGAACAGAGGCAGAAGCAGCAAGCCATCATGTGCCTAGTGTTTCTGTCCATGGTCCCACTGAATATCTCCAGTGAGCTGGTTGACAGCTGTGATGGTCAGTATTAGTGCCAATTTGACAGGATCTGGCATCCCCTGGAGATGGGCCTCTGGGAATGCCTATAAGAGTGGAAAATTATCTTGATTACATTAACTGATGTGAGAAGACCCCTCATTTTATTTTATTTTTTGAGACAGGGTCTCACTTTGTAGTCTGGAAATCACTATGTAGAACAGGCTGGCCTTAAAGTCATAGAGATCCATCCATCTGCCTCTGCCTCCTGAAGGCTGGGATTAAAGTGTGTACCACTAGCTCACTAATAGGCCCATCCTTTATAAAACATATATTTTTATTACTACATTTATTTTAGTGTGTGTGTGTGTGTGTGTGTGTGTGTGTGTGTGTGAGTGTATCATGTGACACAGTGCTCCTGTGGAAGTCAGAGGACAAGCTGTGGGAGTCAGTTCTCTTCTTCTACAATGTGGGTCCCAGGGATGGAACTCAGGTCATTAGGCTTGTTGTCAGGCACTTTTATGCACTGAGTCATCCCGATGGTCCTAATGAAGACCTGTCTTAATTGTGCGAGGAACCATTCCCTGGGCAGGGTATCCTGGACAGTAGACAGTGGAACAAGCTGAGGACTACTATGCCGCACATGTAGCTCTGTTTCTTGACTGTGGGTGCCATGTGACTAGGGGCCTCCTCGGATCCTGTGGCTATGACTTCCTTGCAGTAATGGACCACAAACTGTGAGCCAGTTTCTACAGCCTTTCCTATGTGTTTTTTGTCAGAGTATTTTATAATGGTAACAGGAAACAAAAACTAAAATAAGTCTCCCTGATTTCCATTCTGCAGATGAGGAAATCCAGGCTGTGAGCCACCGAGGGCCTTGCTGGAGACCCACATGTGGTAGAGCTCAAATTCCAAGGCAGGTCAAGCTGACAGGGAAGCCCATGTCTGGTTTGCTTCCACCATCCTGACACTGAACAGTACAGCCCTCTTGACTGCTCAGGTCCTCACTCCACAGGAACACTACCTGGATATGATGATGAGACAGGCGGAAGATCTCCTGGGCCATCAGTAAGGTCTTGGAGTCCATCACCAGGTACAGCAGATGCAAGAGGGCAAGGAAGCCCGCCCCCCTCAGATCTGTGGCTGGATTTGCTCCTATGACAGAAACCAGAGGCAAAGGTGGTATGACAGGGAGCCAGGCGGAGGAAGTCTGCTCCCTGGAGCTTCCAGGCCTTGCTTGGAAAGCTGCCTGACAACTTTCTGGCCTCTACTGGGCTAGAGGAGATAAGCACAGGTCCATTTGGTGCCACAAACCCCTGATGTGCTCTTTGGGGGCCAAACAGGCCCATTTTTCAGCACCCCGGGGGCTGCAGTTCTCTTGTAGTCATTTCTCCACAACTACCAGTGTAATCTTTACAAAGAAAGGGACTGAGGATATAGTGCATTTGGTAGAGTGTTTGCTAGGCATGCCTGGGCAATGGGTTTTATCCCCAGCGTAGTATAAACTGGGCATGGTGGTGTATACCTGTCATTCTAGCACTTGGGAGGTAGAGGAAGGAGGATTAGAAGTTCAGGGTCATCCTCTGCTATATAATGAGTCTGAGGCCAGCCTGAGCTACCCAAGACCCTGTCTCAGGAAAAAAAAACCAAGAAAAAGAAAAAAAGGAGAGAGAGACTTAAGCTGACATAAGCTTGCCCTGTCATGCCCTGTATCTTCCACCAAGCTATGATACAGTAAGAAAGCCCTCAAAAGATGCTAAGCAGATGCAAGACTCATGCTCTTAGACTTCCCAACCATCAGAATCATGAGCCAAATAAACTTCTACTTTCTACAAATTACCCAGTCTCAGGTATTTTATGATAGCAACAGAAAACAGACTAATACAGAACAGATTTTTTTTAAAAAGCCCTAGGAAAGCTGTCTCTCTCTAGGCAAAGGACCAGAAAAAGGGCAGCCTAATAAGACAGATCCAATTTAGACAATATTTAACCTATTCCAGCCAAATACCAGAGAAACATGGGCCCCACTCCCACTCCTCAGCAAAGGCCCAGTGGGGGTCTAGGCCTCCTCTCTTTCCAGTCCTTGATTGCATCAGGGTATCATCAAAGAAAGTCAAGTAAGGAGCTGGGCCTTTATCCTTTCCTTTGTCCTCCCTGCAATGTCAGTGGAGGCCACAGGGGACAATAATGAAGTCTCACTGCCACTCCCAGTCAGTGGTGTTAGCACAGGCTGAAAGCAAAATCTGGGCTTTCACCAGTGAGGTGGCATCCCTCCTTATTCCACTGGTACAGCATGAGAGGAGCTGTGCTAGAATGGAAGAGATAAAGAAGACCCTGAGTGTCACAACATGATCCAGGTTATGACTGAAAACATGTATTGTACCAAGAACTAGGATATTCTCAATCTGAATGAGAAAAGACAATCAACAAACATCAATACTGAGATACTATGTATGCTGTAAACATCTGACAAAGACTACAGCAGCTCTGACAGGCAGAATAATATCCTACTTCTAAAGATGTCCACACTCTATACCCCAAAACCTATGAAGACATTACATGGCAAAGGCGACTGAGATGCAGGTGAAACTAACATTGCTAATCAGCAGAAAGGGAGGTTATACTGGATTATATGGGTGGGCCAATATACTAAGAAGGGTTCGTGAAAGCAGAAAGAGGTGGAAACACTAGCTGGAGAAAGATGTGAGGATGAATCAGGGTCAGGGATGCTGTCTGGTTGTAAGATGGAGGGCTGCAGGAAACGTCTGGAAGCTAGAAAAGGTAAGGAAATTGATCTACACTGCTGACACCCTGATCTTCCCATTGAGTCCTGAACCACAGAAATAGAAGATAATCAGTGAATTTGCATTTTTGTTGTTTTTTTTTAAGGTGATAATTTGCATTGTTTTCAGCTACTACATTTGTGAAAAACATTTATTTTGAGACAAGGTCTCATGTAGCCCAGGCTGGCCTCCAACTTACCCCAGAGATGAGGGTGACTTTGAATGTTTAATCCTCTGCCTCTACATCACACACTTCACAGGTGTGTGAATCCAAGCCCAGTTGTATGCAGTTTTGGGGATCAAACAGGGCTTTTTGCATGCTAGCTGAGCAGTGTAACAACTGAACTCCATTCCTAGCCCCAAACTGTGCAAATCTGTTACAAAAATAAAA